CAACTACGACCACGGAAATGTCCATTCTCGTCGAAGACAATCAACTACCGCGGAATAACCACGGAAATGTCCATTCTACATTGGAGTAGCACTACAAGTAGTGTGAATTCTCTATTGACAATGATATTATACCGTACTTCCGCATAGATACTAGCTAAAAGCCTTATTCGACAAAGATGTTATACTGTACTTTCGCATAAATACTAGCTAAAAGCCTAGACGCCACGGTAATGTCCATTCTACAAACGAGTAGCACTACAAGTAGTGTGAATTATATATGATATATCCATTCTACAAACGAGTAGCACTACAAGTAGTGTGAATTCTATATGACCATGATATTATACCGTACTTCCGCATAGATACTAGCTAAAAGCCTAGACACGTTGATGTTATATTTTGCTTTCGCATAGATGCTAGCTTAAAGCCTAGACACGTGTTTCGACATTCTAAAAACGAGTAGCACTACAAGTAGTGTGAATTCTATATGACAATGACTCCGGAAATGTGTATTCTGCAAACGAGTAGCACTACAAGTAGTGTGAATTCTATATGACAATGATGCTAGGCTGTACTTTCGCATAGATACTAGCTGAAAGCCTAGACACGTGTTTCGCCGATGTTTTTGCTACTGCATGATACAGCAACGAGGGGTTCTGCTTGTCAATAGATCCCCCGACGTTCTCTATGCGGTTTCTAGTATTTGACCTCCAGATAATTCTCATCAGTATGCCTCCAAGCTGTACTTTCGCATAGATACTAGCTGAAAGCCTAGACACGTGTTTCGCCGATGGTAACTGCTACTGCATGACACAGCAACGAGGGGTTCGGCTTGTCAATATGTCCCCCGACGTTCTCTCTGTTACTGCATTATACAGCAACGAGGGGTTCGGCTCGTCAGTAAACCCCCAACGTTCCGCTCCATGATACAGCAACGAGGGTTTTGGCTCGTCAGTAAGCCCCCAACATTCACTATGCGGTTTCTAGTATATGACCTCCAGATAATAATCAAGGAAATAACCGCGGAAATTATTAGGTGCATGACATGGAAGATAATAATCAAGGAAATAATCGCGGAAATTATTAGGTGCATGACATGGAAGGAGGTGGACGGGACATGACTTTTTAGGGTCAGACCCTAGATTTCGATGAACATTGGGGACGGGACATGACTTTTTAGGGTCAGACCCTAGATTTCGATGAACATTTATGCACGGGACATGACTTTTAAGGGTCAGACCCTAGAGTTCGATGAACATTTTCTCGAAGACAATCAACTGCCGCGAAATAACCACGGAAATGTCCATTCTACAAACGAATAGCACTACAAGTAGTGTGAAATCTAAATGACAATAATGTTATACTGTACTTTCGCATAGATACTTGCCAAAAGGCTAGACACGTGTT